AATATAAATGACTAATTGATTAAGTGAGTAATGACCACATCAACTGATAATAACCTTAATATTATTCCTTTAAGCTCTGAATCTATATAAAGATTTTATAACCTCTGCGTGCTGCTCGTTTCCACCACATTCCCAATTAAGTACTAGCTGAGGGCCTAATAGAATAAATGGAGCTGCACATGGCTTTGATCGGTCTCTGATATTTACTCTCAGCTGTTTCCCCCCGATTCCCCGTTTGTTACCAGGACAACAGTGTTTCTCAGCAGGTGAACTTTGTGACCAAATGAAACAGGACTGATTGGAAGATCAATGTGTTTTTTAGGCCACGACTGTGAATCAGCAGTCATTGAACCGACTCTTATAGTTTGCACAAAACAGCAAACTGGCATTTTACTAAAGAAGAGTAATTCCATGTTAACAACTATGCTTGATGATTAGATGCTTGCTTTTTTAAAGGAGCCACTCTGTAAACGTGTGTCTCTTCTCAAAGCTCTAATTAGCTCTTGTGTCCCGACAGGCTTTTTTCACAGCTTATTAAGGACACTGTCTTTTATTTAACAGCTTTACCATGTGATCAAGTTACTCATAGCTCATATTTTCTTTATTTTTTCTGTTAAAAAAGTGACATTTATTCTTTCCTCCCCCAAAGTTCCTGCATATATGAAACATCCAAATTCCCCGTGTTTGTAATCTTCGCGCTGTTTCCTGTAACGTTACAGGATGAACGTATCATTATGACACAACAGCAGTCTATGCGTCACCCACACAGTTACTTAACTTGAATCCATCACAAAAGTGGACCATTGCACACGCTGTGAAAACAGATGTTTGTTGTGTTCTATGCTCTGCAGTGATGAACAAAAACAAGCCGTAGGACTGCTGAGCAATACTTTTTTGTTGTTTTTCTGGCAACCACTTATTTTAAGTATCAGTTGAATCCATTCATTTTGTCTCTTGCCTCTTTGGTCCTGTCCAGTTGTACCACACAGCTGTCACGCTAACACAGGATGAGATCCGCGCTGCCCTGTCGCACACTGATGTAGAGCAAATGTGGCAGAGGGACCTGAGACCACTGCTCGTCACCAGGTATCCAGGGTCTGCTGGCAGCCAGGCTGTGCAGGACGTAAGTTGATCTGATACCAGATCTGTGTCTTTAACTAGAGGAACAGTCGTCTTTACTATCATCATGTGTTATCATGCACACGTCTGGAAAAAGGATGGCGGGAAAAATTTAAAAATAATGTTATATTTCCTCCAAAAAAACACCTGTGCGGACACTTTCCACATTTGTAGTAAATGCAATTCCACAGGTAATAAGAAAATGCTGTTTAATTCTGCAAAACAGGAATCAGGTCAGTATATTCAGTGGTTTAGCTGAGTAGTAAGGAGATGATAAGATGAAGGAGAGGCTAAATTACAT